CACCGCCGTCCTATCTTCGAGGCCGGGCCAACTGCGCATGGCAGGTAAGGAAGATAGACCACCAAGCGGGGTATTATCGAAGACGAAGAGGGCGGGTATCGAGGGTTTGGGTTAGCACATGTTGATTGACACACGAGCTACGAAGAGGGAGCAGTCTGAACAAGATGGTTATTGAGCTCTCATTTCTGAAGATTTGTTATGGTTGACCCACCATCACTGGTTTTCATGCTGTTTTTCAATTGAAGCGCCTCCCCCCTGGAGCTCGCACCCGGTTCTGTTATGAATGGAAGGCCTTCCTGCTCAAACTGCGTTTGTTGGCCCCGGGTGAACAACATCAGCAACAACAACGGCTCCCGCCCCATTTTTCCTCACAGTTGGATTAAGCGTTGCGACCTCGCGCGGTAACTTTTCACAATTAGTCAGAAATCGCGTTCTCGCTTGGGATATCCTTGCGATTTATCCTGGCGCCGCGCCATCGACGTCTACGAATCGCGCTCTCGCACGAGACTTCCTCACAATCCATTCAGGGATGACACGAACCTTCTCCAAACACCAAAAGAGCCCATGGATGTTTGCCCCTCGGGGCCTTCTTGGGGGGTTCTCGTTTGCCTCTCTGGCGGCGTCTCGGAGGCGTCTCAGGCTACGGTCGAACATCTAATTAAGAAACCTCCTTCCGAGTAGCTCGGCCAGCGTGTCTGAATATACTTGCCAGCAAGCTTGCCCAACTTCTTGAGCACGTTCGCCCCGCCAGCGTCAACGACAGAAATTGGCCCAGGCTTGTTTTAAGAACCTTCTAGAAGTCGGCTCAGACTCCTTAAATGATCAGCTTCTTGATCACATTCTCGGATGTATCCAGTGTTGATCTTGGGCGTCTTTGAGCGCTCTCGGGCCGTGTCAGACCATTTGGAACTCTCCTGGAGGTCCCTTGGAGCGCTCTGGGGTCTGGGGGGGTGGTCTGGAAGGCCGTACCCGGTGCAGAATCATCTCTGTGAGGTTTTGTCTGGGACACTGCCATTCTCGTGCCAGGACCCCGCTGGGATCTTGCCAGACATCTCGCAGGGTCTTTTCACGAGGGAAAACACACAACACACAGAATCGCCGATTCCAAGGAAAATGTGGAAAACCTGGGAAGTGGAGGGGAAGACGAGCACACAGGAAATAGGGAATCTCTGGGGACATCCTGAGATTCGTGCCTCTATTTATCCGTAAGGGCTTCGCCCTCTGCCGCCAGCCCCCTCTCCATCATAATGGAATATGCACGACCCATGGTGGGATGCCTGGCTCCGTCGTGAAGCAGTATCGAAGCCTCGTGCAGGGACGAGGGGTAATCTTCCAGACAAATTGAGATTCAGATGGTAGCGTAGAACTCTGGGCTGCCCGTTGCGAACTTCCCCTCATGCTGTGCATCGGCTGCCCACTTGGAACGACTGTGGGCTGCCTGAGGCTAACAACGGGCAGAATCGTGCGGCTTGGACGGTCTTGGGGTTCCTCGGCGTATGTTACGAGGGAGCGTGGTTCCGGGGACACGAGCATGGCCTCATTTACGAGCGATCGTGGCCTTGGGGATGCGACAATTGATAATGTGTTAGGGTTCGTGGCCTCGGAGACGCGAATACTGCAGAATTCAAAAGCGCTCGTGACTTCGGGGACGCGAATATGGCGCAATTTACAAAAAGGATTGTGGCCTCGGCAGCGCGAATATGGTGCGTTTTGCGATGGATTGTGGCCTCGGCGGCGCGAATACGGTGCAGTTTGCGAAGGATTGTGGCTTCGGCAGCGCGGACACGCCACGCATTGAGAGGGATTGTGGCCTCGGCAGCGCGAACATGGTGCAATTTGCAAAGGCTTGTGGCGACGGCAGCGCGAACCGATTGGAATTCGCAAGGGATTGTAGATTCGGCAGCGCGAGTATGGTGAAATTTGCAATTGATGGTGGTTTCGGCAGCGCGAATACCATGCAATGTGTAAGGTATTGTGGCCTTGGCAGCGCGAATATGGTGCACTTTGCAAGGGTGTCTGGTCTCGGATGTTCAGACCTCAGGTGTTTCTGCATGTCCCACGACCCCCCGGCAATTCCTGGTGGGTGGTAACCAGGGCGGTGTTCGTCTCCCCCCGTCGCGCGGACAGTAAAACATTGCAGTAGGAAGCAGAAGCCAGGACTGTAACATTGGCGACTTGAAGCTGCAACTGGGGCAGGGAGCAGCAACCTGGTCCTACAGCCTGGTGGCCCCACCAGGGGGCCTGCGGACTTGTGTGCCCCTGGGCCGCGTCCGCATCTGTCGCCCCGACCCCGGGGGCGTGCTCCTCCCGAGCGAGCTAGAAAGGTTTTAGACTGGTGGGAGTCGACTAATGGAGGGGAAGCGTGCTGCCAAATAATTTCCATATGTCTTAAACATGGTTCAAACATGTTTTAAATATGTAAAGACAGATTTGAAACATGTTTAGAACATGTTTTACACATGTTAAACACATGTTTAATCCAATGCTAGGACTGTTAGAGTGTCCATTGCCATGGCACCCACAATTCTAGACCTGTTTCTGGGAATCTTGGCACGCCTCCAGCCCGCTGGGCCGGCGCATCTCCTCCTCTGCTTTTTGGCGTCGAGCCCCGGGAGGAAAGCGAGAAGGAGAAGGCCTTCTCAGAGGGCTCGGACGTCCCTCCCGCCTTCCGAGAAGGTTTCTAAGCCTTCCCCGAAGACGCAGCAAGCTTCTCAGAAGGCGCGAGGGCTTCTGAGAAGTCCCGCCGCCTTCTGAGAGGGCTTTCTCCTTCTCACTTCCCTTCCCCCGCTCGCCGCCGAGCCTTGGCTTCCTGCGGACCCTCGTCGCCACAGCTGGGCTCGCTCAGGAAGCAAGACGTTCCGGAAGGAGTCAGCGTGGCGACGGAGGAGGAGGGGGGAGGAGCAGCTTGAGAAGGAGAAGGAGGAGGAGGACGAGGACGAGGAGTAGGAGGAGGAGGAGGAGGAGGAGGAGGAGGAGGAGGAGGAGGAGGAGGAGGAGGAGGAGGAGGGGGAGGAGGAGGAGGAGGGGGAGGAGCAGGGGAGGAGGAGGGGGAGAAGCAGGAGGGGTCATTTTCGCGCGTTCCTTCCTCAGGCATCCTGGAAGGCACCCGTGCCCTCCCTCCTCGTGCTCCTCCCTGCCGCACTCTCTGCGCCACTTCGTGGTGGACCAGTCTATGTCTGCTGGCGGCGTTGCAGGTCTTCGCGGCCATCTGCGGGCCTCTGCGGAGCAGCGCGTGATTCAGGAAGAAAAAACCTACAGACACGAGTAAACGTCGATTCCCAGGAGCATGGGGACATATGGGAAGTGGAACGAAAGTCTGGAAGGACGGACAAGTATGGGAAATCATGGGAGTCGTGTCTATTTACTTGTGTGTCACTGGGTGTCTTCCAGCAGATTCCCTGCCTCCCTCCCTGCTTTCTCCCTGCCAGGTGACTCGGTCAGCCTGGCTGGGGGCTGCGCGTCAGGGTCGATGCCGAGGAGTGCTTCTTCGTGCCATCCTTCGACGCAGGAGGAAGAGGAAAGGACGGTAGCCAATGGCAACGACGAATGCGAGGAGATGAGGGAGGTAGAGCGGGGTGGAGAGTGGAGGAGGAGGAGGAGAAGGAGGAGGAGGAGCAGGAGGAGGAGGAGGAGGGAGGATGAGGTGGAGCACGAGGAAGGATGGATGGAGAAGGAAGAGGAGGAGGAAGAGGACACAGGACAGGAAGAAAGAACATGAGACGGAGCCGGAGCAGTCGGAGGAGGAAGGGGGGCAGTAGGTGGTGGAGGAAAGGGTAGTACGAGGGATGTTGAGGGGAGGCGGGTGCCGAGGAAAACTAGGTTTGGAGGATAGAGGAGGCTGGAGGAGGGAGGAGGATGGAAAAAAACACGATGATGATGATGATGGTGATGATGATGCTGCTTATGATGATGATGATGCTGATGATGATGCTGATGACAATGGTGATGATGATGACGATGACGATGACGATGACGATGATGATGATGATGATGATGATGATGATGATGATGATGACGATGATGATGATGATGATGATGATGATGATGAAGGTGATGATGATGCTGATGCTGATGCTGGTGCTGATGTTGCTGCAGCTGCTGCTGATGATGATGATCATGATGCTGACGCTGATGATGGTAATGCTGATGATGATGCTACTGATGCAGATGATGATGAGGATGAGGATGAGGATGATGATGATGATGATGATGATGATGATGATGATGATGATGATGATGATGATGGTGCTGATGTGATGATGGTGATGATGATACTTATGATGCTGCTGCTGATGATGATGATGGTGATGATGATGGTGGTGATGATGAGGAGGATGACGTCGATGATGATGGTGATGGCGATGGTGGTGGTGATGGTGGTGGTGGTGATGATGATGCTGATGACGATGGTGATGATGATGATGGTGATGATGCTGATGATGCTGATGATGATGGGGACGGTGACGGTGACGGTGATGGTGATGGTAATGGCGATGGTGATGGCGATGGTGGTGGTGATGGTGGTGGTGGTGGTGGTGATGATGCTGATGCTGATGACGGTGGTGATGATGATGGTGATGGTGATGGTGATGGTGGTGGTGATGATGATGATGATGCTGATGCTGATGCTGACGATGCTGACGATGATGATGACGATGATGATGATGATGATGATGATGATGCTGATGATGATGATGATGATGATGATGATGATGAGGAGGATGAGGATGAGGATGAGGATGAGGATGAGATGGAGGATGAAGGGGAGGAGGAGGAGGAGGAGGAGGAGGAGGAGGAGGAGGAGGAGGAGGAGGAGGAGGAGGACGAGGAGGACAAGGGGGATGAGGAGGAGGAGGAGGAGGAGGAGGAGGAGGAGGAGGGAGCATGAGGCGACGACGCAAAGCAGGGGAAAGTTGGAGGGTTATGGAGCAGGAGTAGGAGGAGTCTGAGGAAGCGACTCGCGAAGGGAAGGGGGCTGCGGACATAGTCGAGGCACCTAGGGACAGGCCTGGCCCCGAGACGAGGCCTGGCACGGCGCGCCCGCCGGGAGCCCCAGGTTCCGTCTGGCCGTCGGCCCTCCTTCTCTCGTGCGGCGGCGTCGTCGTCGTCGTCGTCGTCGTCGTCGTCGTCGTCGTCGTCGTCGTCGTCGTCGTCGTCCGTCGGCGTCGGCGTCGGCGTCGGCGTCGGCGTCGGCGTCGGCGTCGGCGTCGGCGTCGTCGTCGTCGTCGGCGTCGGCGTCGTCTTCGTCTGGCGACGGCGCCGCGCGTCGTCGCAGGGCGAGGGCCGCCCAGGGCGCTCCACAGGGGCGGGGCCCGTCTCCTCCTCCTGTGCCGCCGAGCCGCGCAGGCCCTTCTCGTGCCGGCTTTCGGCTTCGGCTCGGAGGCCGGACCCGGGTCGTCCCCCGTCCCCTCCTCCTCCCAGTCCTCCTCCTCCTCTTAATCCTCCTCCTCCTCCTTCCTTCTCCTCCTCCCTTCCCCTCCTCCTCCTCCTCCTCCTCCTCCTCCTTCTCTTCTTCCTCCTCCTCCTTCTCTTCTTCCTCCTCCTCCTTCTCTTCCTCCTCCCTCTTCCTCGTCCTTTTCCTCTTCCTATTCCTCTTCTGAATTCCTCTTTCCTTCTCCTCCCCCCTCCCCCCAGCCAGCATCCTAGCTGCCCCGTCCCCCCCCCCCCCCGCCGCCCCTGCGTGCGGCGAGAAGACGCGCGCGGCCTCCAGGGGTGGGGGGCCAGCCCCCATCACGCCGGACGAGCTGCCGCTCTACGGTTCCCTGCATCGACTGGGGAAGGGCCTTGCCGCGAAGGCCCGCGTCACACCTCGGCTCCGCCCGGCAGGAGGAGGCATGCTGCTGATGATGGGAGGAGGAGAAGGAGGAGAAGGAGGAGGAGGAGGAGGAAGGAGGAGGGGGAGGAGGGGGAGGAGGGGGAGGAGGAGGAGGAGGAGGAGGAGGAGGGGGAGGAGGAGGAGGAGGACGAGCAAGAGGAAGAGGAATAGGAGGAGGAGTAGGAGGAAGAGGAGGAGGAGGAGGAGGAGGAGGAAGAGGGCAGAGACGTCCTCGCGCCGCTACCCGTCGGTCTGACCCTTATGTGCATTGTTCTGTCCCGCGCTCCCTCGTTCCCTCGCTCGCTAGTCTTTGCTTGCTCGCCTTGGCACTCCTTGCGGTTGGCGAGGGGAAGGGGTTAATTATGCATGCCGCAATTGTTCGCCTTGCTTTTTCATAGTCGGTTCATCCTGGGGATGGCTGGCTATGGGAAGCATCGGGCCATCTGTGCGATCACCAGAAATTGGCTTCACCGACTCGCGCGAAGCGACAAGGTGGGGGTCAATGGTTTGCAGTTGATGTCACGGATAGGCTTGCGTGCCGTTGCCAGCAGCGGAAGCATGCATCGCACATGTCTTGTCATATGCTGTCTTGGACGAGTGTCAGACTCTGGCATGTTGTTTTGGGTTCATGTAGGTAAAGGACAGCCTACGATTTCCAAAGGATCGGCCAATCTTCTGGCATTGCCGCGCATGCTGCAGGCGCGATGCGTGCAGATGCTTCCGTTGGGCCGACGTGCGTTGGCCACAAGTCATCCAGATTTGCGCTTGTCGGCGCTATGTATTAGAATGCGGGGGGGGGGAAGAGGGAGGGAGGGGAAAGGGAGACGTGGAGGGAGGGGAGGAAGGGGGGGAGGGAGAGGGAGGGAGGGAGAGAGGGGGGGAGAGAGAGAGGGAGGAGAGGGAGGGGGGGAGGGGAGGAGGTGGACGGAGGGGCAAGGGAGGGGAGGGGGAGGCGCGGAGGAATGAAACGGAGAGGGTAGGAGATGCAGGGGAGCTCCCGTGGTTTGCGAGCAGCGCCCGTTCCGCCAGGATGGGCTACGAATCTAGATTGCGAGCCTTCGCCCAGTGGGGCACGGTAGAAGGAACGAATTAGTGGACCCCCCCCCGCTTCCCCAAACTCAAAGTTGGCACGCGCGGGGAAGATTGTGGGCGAAGTGCAGCTCGTTCAACCCACCGCCAACATTGATCATTGGTGGGTGGCATTGACAGATGAATGCGGCATGAGTGTTCGCTAATTTCTTCCGAGGCCTGTATCACAGGCCATCCACGTTCCCTGCGGCGTACCACATGCCAGGCAGCACCGCTTTCGTGACCCCCCCTGCCGAAGGGCAAGACTCAGCCAAGTGGCGCGTTCATCATGTACGACACCAACATGGAGGGGAATGAGGGGGCGGCGGTGAAATGTGTGGGAGAAGGATGAAGAGCCGCATCAGCATCAGCAAAGCCAGCCGGCGCCTGATGGACAGGGGCCAGAAGCATGATTATGTTGATCATGTTGGTGTTGATGATGATGCTGATGATGATGATGATGTTGCTGCTGATGATGATGGCGACGATGAGGATGATGCTGATGATGGCGATGATGTTGATGGTGATTACGATGATGAGGAGGATGACGAGTGACAATGCTGATAGTCATTATGTTGTGGATGTTAATACTGGTGAGACATGGGGATGATGATGATGATGATGATGATGATGCTGATGATGATGATGATGATGGTGGTGAGGATGCTGTCGCTGCTGCTGCAGATGAGGATGATGCTTATGCTGTTGATGATGAATATGATGATGACGATGATGATACTTATGATGGTGATGATGATGGTGATGTTGCTAAGGGTGATCTTGATCATGAGGATGCTGACGTTGGTGATGATGAGGATGAGGGTGATGATGATGGGGATGATGACGATGAAGATGGTGTTCATGCTGATGCTGATGTTGATGATGATGACGATGCTGATGATGATGCTGCTGACGATGATGGTGGTGATGATGGTGATGATTATGGTGATTGTGATACTGTTGGCGACGATAATGCTGATGGTGCTGCTGATGTTTATGTTGTGGTTGATGCGTGCGATGATGATGATGATGATGATGATGATGATGATGATGATGATGATGATGATGATGATGATGATGATGATGATGATGTCGATGGCGATGATGATGATGATGATGATGCTGATGATGATGATGATGATGATGGTGACGATGGCGATGACGATGACGATGCTGATGATGATGGTTGATGATGATGATGATGATGATGATGATGATGATGATGATGATTGATGATGATGATGATGATGATGATGATGATGATGATGATGATGATGATGATGATGATGATGATGATGATGATGATGATGATGATGATGATGATGATGATGATGATGATGATGATGATGATGATGGGGAGGAGGAGGAGGAGGAGGAGGAGGAGGAGGAAGAGGAATAACCAGTATACTAAGAAGATTAAGACGGGGAGGAGGACGACGCGGAGGAGGACGAGGCTGAGCAGCAACAGCGGCTACAGCAGCGGCGGCGGCAGCATCAACAGCAGAAACACAGCCGGCGGCAACAGGCCGGTGGAGGGGAGGGGCGGGGCCGCGAGCAGGGGGGCGGAGGGCATGCCTAGCAGGGAGGAGAAGAGGATGCCGAGTGGGGGAAATGGGCAGCAAGCGGCATGCAGGGGGAGGGCAGGAAGGGCGGGCGGAGGAGGAGCTGGATTCTCTGCCTCGTTTCGCTTGGCCTCTCTCGCCACTTCGCTTCCGGCGCGCCCCGTCCGCAGTCCGACTGGCGCCCGCACCTGCTTCGGCTCGCTTGCGCCCGCCTGCTCAAAACATTGTTCCCTTCTCTCTCTCTCTCGCTCTCTCTCTCTCTCTCTTTCTTTCTTTTTCTTTCTCTCTCTCTCTCTCTCTCTCACATACACCCAAAATAGTCCCCGTATTATTTTTTGACAATTTTTCATTTTTTGGGGTATTTTTTTATTTCTCGTCGACAATCTCCCTGTAGGGGGACAGGCCCGACTCAATGGTAAGGATGGGCGACCTTCCCAAGGGTACCCCTGCCTCCGTGCCTCCCTGGCCCGTCCTTGGCTACTTTCGATGGCCCGCCCCGCTCGACATGAGCTTCGACGCGCTCGCGCCCGCGGGGCTGGCCTCCTGACCGCGCATCTCTGCTGGCAGCTCTCACTGCACTGCAGGCGGGTCGGCGGGCCACGTCGGCCCTGATCGGTAGGCCGACCAGGGCGAACCGAGGGTACACATCTGTGTGTGTGTGTGTCTTGACTATCCCGACACCCCGCGCGTGCTCTGGTGCTCTGGGGGCCGCGTTGCCGTCGGATGGGGCATCCTACGTTTTTGTCAGAGGCTACCCGAGGCCATGACAAGAGCATGGAAGGCCACGCGCTGCTATGGCTACCCGTGTCTTCGCGGCCACGGGCAACCATAAAAGCGTGCGAGGCGCCATCCTGTGTCCTCTTCGGGCGGCCTGCCCTCTGACCTCCTCGCCTGCCCACCCCCCCTCCGGGAAGAATCCTTGCGCAAACCGAACGCCTTGCCCGTCCAGGTCCCTCGTGAAATCCTCCGGAACCCTCGCGAATCCTTGCGATTTGCAAGGATCCCCAAGGATTTCACTACCTAGCAACCCATAGGAATCCATAGGAATCCATCGGAATCCCTGGGAATGCTTGGGAATCCCTAGGAATCCCGTCGACTGCGACGCCCTTCTCGAGACATCGCCGCCGCGCTCCCTCGGCTGGGGCTGGCCGGCCTGCCGCGGCGCCGGCGGGGTGCTTCTAAGGCTCGGGGGTGGACAGACCTCTTACCCTGACACGTCGATTAGTGAAATGGCCGTTTTCGGTTCTCGAGAGGGCGCCGCGGCCGTCATTTTCCAGGCTTGCGCCCGCCAGGTTTAGGCCCGAGGCTTTTTTCACTAAACCACGTTTTACTAAAGGGAGGCCTGTCCACACCCGACTAAGGCAGAGCTCTGGAGGTAGGAAAGGGGTGTGGTGCCAATGTTATGTAAAAGGCGGATCTGGCGATGTGGTCCATCGTAGGTCGCATTGCCGATTCCGCGATTGGCACCACTCCCGTCTGGCGCCACACCCCGCTCCGACCTTCGAAACAGTGGCTTTCCCCGAGGCCCCTATTGCCCGTGGTCGCCGCCGCCGCGGGAGGCCTCGTCGTCGTCGTCGTCCCCGCTGCCGCTGCCGCCGTCGTCGCCGCCGCCGCCGCCGTCGTCCTCGTCGTCGTCGTCGTCGTCGTCGTCGTGGTCGTCGTCGTCGTGGCTTTTGGCCTCCCCATCCCTGCGCGCCCCCGGTGGCCCCCTCCCGCCCTGCCCTCCCCTCGAGGCGCGCTCGGGCGGGCTCCCACGGCGCCCGCCCCCGGGCGCTCGAGCCCGTGCGCATGCAGCGTGGGGCCCCAAGAGACAGCCGCAGCGTTCCGATTGCTCCCATGCGGGGCCCCCGCAGTCGAGCAGTGGCGAAGCGTCCTCGTCAACACAGGTCCCTGCTCAGCACAGGTCCTCCGACCCCCTCCCCCGGGGCCGGCTCCCCGTCCGAGCCGTTTTCAGACGGCCCTGGGTCCCGGCGAGGGCCCCCGGAGGCCGTGAACGGCTCCTTGCCCTTCCCTTTCCCCCCCTCTCACTGAGGATAACAAGGCCCTAACCCGAATGACACGGTAACGCAGCCTCACTGAGGTTCCCGTCTTCGCATTAGGGATGATGATTCTGGGCGGTTGTTGTTCGGCATTTCTGCAGGAAAGATCCCTCATCCCCTATCCCTAATGTTCCTGGCCCTCCTAACTTACGTCACCTCTCAAAGGGTTACGGATCCTTTTTGGTCAATCACCCCCCCTCCATTGAAATCCGACGTTTCGAAAGATGCAGCGTCGCGGAATGTCGCGATCGGAGCCTTGGGCCCTGTTTTTCTCCGTTTTTCTAGCCTGATCGATCTGCGAGGGTCCTGGAACCCGAGCCGGGCGAAAAGGCCTGGCGTGGAAACATTGCAACGCCCAGATCTCAGGGTCACCATCCTCTTCTCGTCCCGTCTCGTCGCTTCCCTTATCTTCCCTTCTCTTCTCTTCCCTTCTCTTATCTTATCTGCTCTTCTCTTCTCTTCTCTTCTCTTCTCTTCTCTTCTATTCTCTTCTCTTCTCTTCTCTTCTCTTCTCTTCTCTTCTCTTCTCTTCTCTTCTCTTCTCTTCTCTTCTCTTCTCTTCTCTTCTCTTCTCTTCTCTTCTCTTCTCTTCTCTTCTCTTCTCTTCTCTTCTCTTCTCTTCTCTTCTCTTCTCTTCTCTTCTCTTTTCTCGTCGTCTCTTTTCCTTCCTCTTCGCCCTCGCTCAGTCGTTGGGCCCCGCGCCTCAGGTCAGAGGCGGGCGGAACAGCCTTCCCCAGTCGGGGGCCCCCTCCTGGGGGGCCCCGCCGTGGGGCAGGAGTGCTCCTGCCCGCGCCCCCGCCCATGCCCTCCCTCTCCTCCCCCCTCTCTTCCCAGACCCCCGACGCCGTGATTTGTTTGGCATGACGTGGCCCTCGGAAGCCTTCGGCCAGGCGCAGAAGGGGGGTTAGGGCTAAGTCGGGCCTGTCCCTCCACAGGGGGGATACTCAAGAATAGTATAAACAGATTCTCGTGGGACGATTGTTTGACTATTTTCGATTATTTGTGGGGTATCTTTAATTTTCCGTCCAAAATCCGCCTGTAGGAGGACACGCCCGACCTGAGGGTAGAGGGAGGGGGAAGGACTCTTACAAGCCTCTTAGAAGGCGCGGGCCTTCTCTATAGATGTAGGGCCGGCGCCTTCTAAGAAGCAGCCTCCTACTATGAAGCCTCCCCCCTCCCCCTACCCCTTTGTGTGCGCCGCCAGAGTCTGGACCCCCTTCCCCAGGACCGGTTTTTCGTCCCGAGTCGTTTTCTGACGGTCCCGGGGCCTGGTCAGGGCCCATAGCATGCGGAGAGTAACGAAATTGGTTCCACCATGATTTTTTAACGTGACCCGCAGATGTTTGGACCCCTTCCTGGGGACAGGTTTTTCATCCCGAGTGTTCTTTCTGACGGTCCTGGAGCTTGGTGAGGGCCCCTGGGAGACGGAGGGTGGCGAACCTGTGTCCATCGTGATCTGTTTGTGTGACCTGACCCGCAGAAGTCTGGACCCCTTCCTTGGGACGAGCTCTTCCTCCCGAGTGGCTTTTCTGACGGCCCCGGGGCCTGGTGAGGGCCCCTGGGAGGCGGAGGGCAGCGAAGAGCCCCGCGTTGCGATTTTGTTCCCAGCGCGAGGGGGTCTGGGTTCCCCTCCCTCCCCTTTCTGTGCCTCCTCCTCCTCCCCCTCTTCCCCTTGGGACGGGGGGGGGGAGGAGGGGGGCGAGGATGGGGCACAGAGGGGAGAGGGGGAGGGCGAGGAGAGAGAGAGAGAGAGAGGGGGAGAGGGAGTGGGGGGAGGAGAGGGTGAGAGGGCGAGGAGGGGAAGAGGGGGGGTATGTTGTTGTAGGTATATAATAGTTGTACATGTTTGCGTATGTTTTTTTATATCTCTGTATATGTTTGTATATGTGTTTGCTTATGCTTGGTATATGGTTGTATTGTATGGGGGGGGGGGCTTCCCCTCTTCGCACTTACAAAAGGGTGGCGCTGGGGGAGTCCTTTGGGGCAGGAGCGCGCCGTGGACCTGGACGGCTTCATGAACGGGTGCCAGGCCCACGGCGCGCCGCTGTCGAGGCAGGAGGTCGAGGCCTTGTTCAGGCGCCGGGGGAGGGGCGGGGACCCTCCGATTCGGCGGCACGTAGGAGGGACTTGTTTCGCCAGAGCGACCTCTGGTGCGGACACAGTTCGGCGGCGAGCGAGGGGGGGAAGTGTCAGGCGATCGCAAACATGGATCAGGGGGGCGTGGGTTAGCGACGGGTTCCGTTTCCATGGGACATCGCGGATTTCCGCCGCCGAACGAGGCGGCAGCAGGCGCATTTTGGGGAGGGCACCTCCCCCGATCCATGGATTTGGTGACCGCGCGCCAAATCCATGGATCGCTAATCCACGGTTGCACGCCCCCGAAAGTGAGAAGTAGAAGGCCTTTTTCAGAATGCGGTGGGACTTCTCAGAAGCCTTCGCGCCTTCTGAGAAGTTTTTCTGTGTCTTCGGGGAAGGCTGAGAAAGTTTCTCAGAAGGCCCGGAGACTTTCGAGCCTTCTGAGAAGGCCTTCTGAGAAGGTCTCCTCCTCTTCTTTCCCCCTCCTCGCTCGCCGCCGAACATTGGGGTCCTCAGAATTACCCCGTTTTGATTCGCTGGTGAGGTCCAGCGCAGACGTGCGAAGCGGACAAGTGCTTTGGAGCTCCACGAGGTCCCCGGCGGTAGCCAGGTTGACGGTATGCCGCCGGCGTCCAGTAAGAGTGATTTTTCGCCAGAGCGACCTCTGGTACGGGCACATTGGCGTCCCCAGTTGATTCTAGGTTTGCGCCACATCCGCCGACCCCTTGTATTTTTTGTTGGGGGGGGGGCAGGATCTCTTGAAAGCCGTTGTGCAAGCGCTTCGGGTTCGTTTTGGGGGCTTGTCGGCGCGTTTTCGGGGCCTCCTGGGTGCATCTTGGGGCATCATGTTGCGCTCCTGGTTTGTGGTGCCAGGCTCGCTCCGGTCCAAGGGGTGGGTCGAGTCTTCGGTTTCGGGCTCCTGGGGAGATAGTAGAGATTGACTCGGCTGGAGGCCGTCAATGGGTCGGAGCATTCTTGCGCTGTCCTTTGTTCCTGGGTCTCGAAGAGGCTCCTCTTCGCCGCCGTTGCTACAGGTTCCAGAATTCTGGCCTAGGCGCACTTGTGCGGCAAAGCCAGAGGGGGTCCTTTGGGAGCCGTCTTGGAGCGTCTACGGGGCATGTGGGGGCCCTTCTGGGCCGTCCGCGGCGCCTTCATGGGCCGTCAGGGGGCCATCTTGGACGGTCAAGGGGCCGTCTTGAGGGGGGGGGGGACTCAAATGCGATTCAGCACCCTGGGGGAGGGAAATGGGGGAGGGGGACAGCCAATTAGTTCACGCTCCTTGCCATCCCCAGAAAGCGGGGGTCGGCGGATTACCAGTACCAATGTTTAGGATCATTTTCCCTCGGTGGAGTCACCCCCCTGTGTTGGTCGGTGCGAATTTCCAGACCTCCAGCGTCTCTCATCCCACCTCCCATCCGAGACCCCGTCGAGTCGTCGAAACATCACGACGGCGACGACGACGACGACGACGACGGCGACGACGACGACGACGACGACGACGATGGAGGGCTCATGGATGTTGGTCGGGATCTCGTGGTTGACCTCTTGGGTGCCTCCTGGAGGCAGGGTCGAGGCCTCTTGGGGACCGTTTTGGAGCCTCTTGGGGCCTCTTGGGGGCCTCTTGGGGGCCTCCTGTGGCCTCTTGGGGCGTCCCCAGATGATTGAACGTGATGCGATGGCAGCGTCTTGCGCGCCAGGGTTAGGCGTCCCCACGACCCCCGAAAGTCGCACACCAAGGGTCGCTCTTGCCTAGGGTTACCCTTGCGCGCAACCAACAGATCTGGGCGCTGCAATTCTTGTTACACCCGGCGGTTTCGCACGGTTTCGGGCCCCTGGACCCTCACAGATCGATCCGGTCCGAAACATGGCGCAGACAGAGCGTGCCAGTGCTCCAGTCGTGATTTGGTTTGCGATTTCCTGCGAAGAGGAGGGGGGGAGGAGGAGGAGGAGGAGGAGGAGGAGGAGGAGGAGGAGGAGGAGGAGGAGGAGGAGGAGGAGGAGGAGGAGGAGGAGGAGGAGGAGGAGGAGGAGGAGGAGGAGGGGAAGGAGGAGGAAGAGTCAAAGGAGGGAAAGGCACCGCTACCACTACCTTTCCCTCGTTTGTCGGCCACGGCTGGATTTGCCTCGAGATGTTGGTCAGAATGCACCCAGGGAGAGGTCCTGGTCAGAACGCACACCGGGAGGAGCAGTGGGAAGACTCGAGTTCGTGGGAACTCGGGTTTGCCGATATTGTTGGATTGGCCCATCCTGGATTTTGACGGTCCAGTGGTCGTGGGATGTCTGAGGCGGAACTTCAAGCCACCCACACCTCCTCACTTTGTTAAAGGTCATGGCGCGAGGTTTTGGCGAGTTTGGGCCTCCGGGGGTCTTCACAGGGCTTTAGGACCGTCAAGCAACGACTCGAGATGGAAGACATTCTCGGGGAAGAGGTCTAGACCTCTGGGGGCCACGTTGTGAACAAGTCATGACATCGGAGACCTGGCGAGGAGGGTGTGGCCTGGGAGGATTGCGGAAAACGCGGACCCGGAGGATGAGGAGGAGGTGGAGGAGGAGGAGGAGGAGGAGGATGAGAAGGAGGAGGAGGAGGAGGAGGAGGCAGAGGAGGAGGGCTGCGAGAGGAGGGGGTTAGAGGGGGATGAAGATGTTGTTGTTGATGATGCTGATGATGATAATGATGATGATGATGGTGATGATGATGATGATGCTGCTGATGCTGCTGTTGCTGATGATGATGATGATGCTGATGATGACGATGCCGACGATGCTGATGATGATGATGACGATAAAGATGATGGTGCTGGTGATGGTGCTGGTGATGATGATGATGATGATGGTGATGGTGACTGTGATGATGGTGATGGTGATGGTGATGATGATGCTGATGATGCTGCTCATGCTGATGATGATGATGATGCTTATGCTGATGCTGGTGCTGATGTGGATGATGATGCTGTTGTTGATGCTGGTGATGATGCTGATGCTGACTATGATGCTGATGATGATGCTGCTACGGATAACGATTATGATGATGATGCTGATGACGACGACGCTGATGATGGTGATGATGATGCTGATGATGATGATGCTGGTGCTGATGCTGCTGCTGATGATGATGACGATGACTATGCTGCTGCTGCTGATGATGATGATGATGATGTTGATGATGATGTTGATGATGCTGCTGATGATGATGCTGATGATGCTGCTGCTGCTGATGATGATACCGATGATGACGAGGAGGAGGAGGAGGAGGAGGAGGAGGAGGAGGAGGCGCAGGAGGAGGAGGAGGAGGAGGAAGTTGGGGAGGAGGATGTTGGGGAGGAGGAGGAGGAGGAGGAGGAGGAGGAGGAGGAGGAGGGAGGAGGAGGAGGGGGCGATGGAGGAAAGGGGAGATGAGCATTGGAGGCGAGGGAGGAAAGGCGTGAGAGGGGGCGAGGAGGATGGGGAGAAAGTGCATGCGGAGGCGAGGATGGGGCGAGGAGGATGGCGAGGAGCGGGGAGAGGAGGAGGAGGAGGAGGAGGAGGAGGAGGAGGAGGAGGAGGAGCGGGGAGAGAGGAGGAGGAGGAGGAGGAGGAGGAGGAGGAGGAGGCCCTCTTCCTCATCCTCCTCCTTGTCCTCTTTTTCCACCTCTTGGAAGAGGGAGGATGACTCCTTAGAAGCAGCGTGCAGGACACGAAGAACGGGAGCACGTGGCAACGCAGCAGTCACAAGACGCGGCGGGAACTCGCGGGCAGGCAGGGGCCGATCGGATGGTCATCACTTTTGAAGAGCAGTCTCGTTCACTCACACGTGACACCACACGCACGCACACGCATACGCATATACACGCTCACACACGCGCACGCACACATATACCCACACAATCACGCACGCGCACGCACACACGCACACACTCACACACACGCACACCTATCCTCCTCAAGCGAGGTGCCAGCACCGCCGCGGATGACAGCAGGGACTAGAACTGACCAACTAAAATGCTCACCACCAGGCGTTGCGCGTGCCTGCGGGAGCGAAGGCGCACACCGCCGGCCAGCGCGCCAGGGGCTGCTTGGAGCCGACTCCCAGTGCACACACACACACACACACTTTCGGCGTCGCGGCCAGGCGCGCAGTGGCACGGCGGAGACAGTCGGGCCAGAGAGCGCGCGCGGCTGGCCCAGAGCACCCGGCGTGTGGACCTGGGCTGCGCCCGTAAGGGGGATAACACACGCGCACACCCTCCCCTGATCGGGCGGGGCCCTGCTGCGCGGCGGCAGCGCTGGGCGGGCGGCGGTGCCCGCGCGGGTCGCGGGGCGCCGCCTGCTGCGCGCCGGGCGGGTGCGGGTGCCGTGGTCACGGTGCGTCCTGCCGCGGCCTCGGGGCACAGTCGGCGTGGCCTGAGATGCAGACGTCCCCCGCACTGCTGGACCAAGCCACACACACACACACACACGCGCGCGCACGAATGCATGCACGCACGCGTAGACGCACGCACGCACGCACGCACGCACGCACGCACGCACGCACGCACGCACGCACGCACGCACGCACACACACACACACACACACGCACACACACACACATCACAAACACACACTTGTTTAGCGCCGCGGTCTCGCGCGCAGCGTCGAGGCGTAGAAAGTCAAGACACACACACACACACAAGCACCCACACAAACAAACAAACACACACACACGCACTCACACACGCGCACTTCCCAAAAGGGGCCGACGTGACGAAGGAGTGGTGCCCGGAGCGGAGCGACGGCGGGAGTACACAACCGATGGAGCAGGTGGGGCGCGGGAGAGCCACTCCACGGGCGAGCGCGAGGCACGACGCGGGTGGCGGAGCCTGGGATGGCGGAGCCTGGGATGGCGCAACATCCCAGGTCACTGCGATCCAGCACGGCGACAACGACGACGACGACGACGACGACGATGGCAATGGCGATGGCTGCAGGCGACGCCGGCGAAGGCGTTCCAGGTTGAACTCCGCATGGTAGAACGACACGGAAGCACTGAGGGGCGCGGTGAAGCCGCAGGACCCGACGGAGTTCAACCTTGCACGATCGGGGCCGCGATCGATTCAAGGTTGAAGGATCGAGGCGGTGTCAAAGGCCATTGCGCGCGAACCTACCATGCACACGCGCGCAAAAGTATGAAGCGAGACCTCGCCAGGGCACGTAGCCAATGTGTATATATTCGTCAGATCTGGGCGTTGCATTTTGTTCACACCAGGTGCCTTCGCCCGGTTTCAGGCGCCGGGACCCTCACAGATCGATGCGGCTCGAATAGTCACAGAAAGATCGGGTCTAGGGCTCCGTTTGCGACTTTTCGCGGTACTGCACGTTCCGCAACGTCGGACCTCCACGCTTTGGCGCGGCACGCTTCGGCGCGACACGCTATCCGCGTCTCAGCCCCCGAACGTCAGCGCCCCGAGCGTTTCCCGACCTCCCGCCCCGCGGAGCGGAGCGACACGCTGTCTGCCTGCAGAGCATGGCGTGTCGCTGGGGCCGCCGCCGCGACACGCCAATCGGCGGCGAGCGAGGGGGGGAAGTGAGAAAGAGAAGGCTTTCTCAGAAGGCGGCGGGACTTCTCAGAAGCCCTCGCGCCTTCTGTGAGGCTTTCTGCGTCACCGGGGAAGGCTCCGACAATTTCTCAGAAGGCCGGGGAACTTCCGAGCTTTCTGAGAACGCCCGCCCCTTCTCACTTCCCCCCGCTCGCCGCCGAGCCACGCGTCGACCCCCGATCGCCGATCGCCCATTGATCGCCGATAGGTCCGATTGCCCCACCCCGCCCAGGAACATTCGGAGTCGCTGTCGGGGGCCTGTCGCCCGTCCATCGGCGACGCATCGCCGGTTCCAGGTCGACGTGCTTCCCCCTCCTATGCCAGTTCCTCTGATCGCTGCTCCTCCTGAGCCACAGGGCCCGACCGTGGAGGGGTGCGGTCCGCCTCGTGGGTGCCCGCCGAGCCGGCGACGCAGTCACCAAGGGACCCGCCTGCGAGGGCGACGCGCATGTCCGCGCAGCCACGTGGCACTTTGCCCGTGGCAGCGGCGCATTAGCTGCGCCCGTGACCTGGAGATGGGTACCAGGCACGGGGATTGTGCATGTGTTGAGAGGCGGGGCGATGTGGTCCGTAAGTCCCTTGGGACCTTGTGTCCGCTCACCCTGGGGTACAAACCCAGTTGCACATGCCATCCGATTCGGCAGGGGTGACGGTCGGTAAGTACTGTGCGGTGACGCGGTGAACCGGCTGTCCCCCTACGCACCACGCCGTCTCGGTTGGGCAGCGAGTCGCTGAGCGACGAGTTATCTGCTTTTCCCCTGACCGTCGGTGCTGGCGCCTGCGGGCCCCTTCCTCCTGTCTGGGAGGCCGAGGGTGACGCTTGAGCCTCGCTCGCCGTTCACTCCTTGGATCTATGACACTCCTCCTCCCCCTCCTCCTCCTCCTCCTCCTCGTCCTCCTCCTCCTCCTCCTCTTCCTCCTCCTCCCTCTGCTAACAATGGTAGTGTTGGTGGAAAATCGGCCCATCACACTTCCCGTCGCAGCGCGGCAGAGGCAGTCCGCGCACGCACCCTGCAAGCCTTGAGGCGGCACATCGATTTACCCGGATGCAAAAAGAAAAAGGGGAGAGAAGAGCTTGCCGCGAGCAGAAGTCACTCGTCACGTGCAGTCGGCAAAAGGAGAGCCCCCCTCCTCTGGTCGCGTACACGCAAGAGTGACCTTCGCAGGATTGAATTTTGACGCGGGACAGCTGAGGGCCCTGGATCGCCGAACGCGATGCGGTAGGAGCGTCTTGCGCGCGCGTATTTGACCCCCCCTGCAGCTCCCCCAGAAAACACACGCCAAAGGTCACCCTTAGCCAGGGTCACTCTTGCGTGTAGCCGACCTTGAGAAACTGCGCGAAAACTGGACAGGATCTTTGACACTGCTTACGCTCGACCGTTACTCTACTATTCAACTTCTCTCGTCTGTCCCGCGTTCTTTTCAGCACTACTGCCGCACCTCACGTTTTTGTCTTTCGCACTCGCCCTCTGGATAAGAGTTCGAGTCGCTCAGGGATGCAGCAAGTATACCAACTGATTCCCGCTCGACGCAACAAACAAAAAAACGGGAGAGGGAGCAGGCGGAAGAGCCAGAGGAGGAACAGGTACCGATACCGCTGCCCTCCCCTCGCTTTTCGCCTTTCCGGGCCCCCGCGGAGGCCCTCGTCGCCACGGCCGGATGCGCTTCGGAATGGTGGTCAGCATGCTTCCTCAGCGGCGCCGGCCTTCTCTGTAGATGCTATGCCGGCGCCTTTTAAGAACCAGACTCTTTCTAAGAATCAAGCAGTGGCGAAGCGTCTCGGCTCGCCTATTGCTCCACCAAGCAGTGTTCTAAGAACTTTTCGTGGTTCCCACGGAGTGTTCTTGGAACGCTTCTGGCTGGGACTCGCTTGCTTTAACACATCGGGCTTCTGTTATAAGAACACTGCTTTGGTTTTTTAATAACACTTTCGGGCTCTAGGAACATGTCGTGGTATGACTATAGGAATGCCGGGACGGTCGGTCCCTGTTCAATGAGGGCATCAGGCCACGCCCCCAGGGCTGCAGACACCTTGACCTGCGGGTGAACTCGGACAGCCTTCTGAGAAGCTTTCCCCCCTCCCCCAGGCCCCCCCCTCCCCCCAGACCCCCTCCCCCTTTGAACCTGCCGAAGAAGCGGGCTCCTGCTGAGAAGCCCCCCCCCTCCCCGCATGACCCCCCCTCCTGTGGTGCGCGCTGCCAAAGGCCTCGCGGGGAGCGGCGCTGCCGGTGGTTTTCTCGCGTCGCGTGGCACGGGCCTCCGACGGCCGTGTGCGGGACGGCCGGGGCACACCCCCGAAAAATGCGCCCGACGGGGCGCGTAGCTGCCGGAAAAAAAACATCCCGAGGCGAGAAATCAGGAGGGAAAGAGACACACAGACGCAATGAATCGTCGACTCCCAGGAAAAGATGGGCAGATATGGGCAGCGGGGGGGAAGACAAAGACCAAGAAATATGGGGAAAATATGGGGGATCTTTTTGTTTGTGTGTATTTCTTTGTGTGTCCTGGGGCCCCTTCAAGACAGCCCGCCAGGAACCCACGAACCTGTCTCCCCCCTTGAAAGTGCGGGCGGGAGCCTTTGGCCACCGTGTCGCCCCGCCGGGTCGAGGCACAGGGCGCTCCGGCGCGACGCGCGAAGCACGTCCCGGTCCCCAGGCGGCAGCGCCCCGATGCTTTCCGAGCGGCCCGCCCCGCGGAGCGAAGCGGCACGCCATCCGTTTGCAAAGCACAGCGGGTCGCCGGGGCCGCCGCCACGAGACGCCAATCGGCACGAGCGAAATGTGTACGGAAAGAACGGGCACAATGCCCAGCAGCAGTTCCTGTTCATTTTGAAAAGGACTCGCTGTCCGCGCCGCCGCGGCCTGTGTCCATTTGCGACAGAAGGCCGCCTGCCCAACAGCGGCCGCTGCTGGTTTGGGACCACAGTCGTTGTTGGGCATTGTACAATTTTTTTCCGTACCCTTTTCAGGCGTCCAAAGCCAAGTAACAGTTCCCAACCGTAAGTAGAGTGGCCCAATCGGACTGCGGCGGCGGCGGCGGCGGCGGCGACGACGACCGCGCCGAGCCGCGGCGCGCGCAGCCGCATGGCCCGCACCTTCCCGGACCACTCCCGCCGGGTGTCCTTCGAGGATTCGCGGCGGCCTCCGCCTGGCTCCGACGGATGCCCCCCTCCCACGGCCCCTGACTGGAGGCCTCCTACAGTGGGGCCACTTCCGAGAAATCATCAGCTTCCCTCCAGGATGCCATGGGTTTCTTGGATTTCGATGGAGCCACGATGGGAAACATGGCCTTCGCATGCCGAAAACCCATGGGCGCCCTCGGGTTTCAGGGTTGGGTTTCTCGCGGGGGTTCCTTGTGGCCGCGCCCCTACTGTAGATAGGAAGGGTCTAAGTATCCCCGCTTTGTAGGGGAAACATGGCGTGGCAAAACTAGCAGGCGACGAAGTGACGAGGAGAAACGTGTGCAGGCAATGATAATACAGAGCGTGCGAGACTGGCTCTAGAAAGGCTGGCCTGTGTCTCCAGTACCTCGCCCACCAATCCGTAAGTAGATCCCCCGAGTAACCCACCTCCAACATCCCTCTTGAGTAGAAATGGGCGCCTTGGCAGGAATCGCATCAGACACAGCTGACTAGGCAAGCGTAAACGAGCTGAATTGAGTGCAGTACACTGGTTGGTAGTCCACAGTGGGAGTGAAAGGTCACTCCCCTACCGACGTGCCAACATAGCAACTCACCGTGGCCAGCGTATTGTTAGCTGAGAGTGAAGGTACGCAAAGACAGGTCAAAAGGCATCCATGGAGGTGAGTGGGCGCTGCAAAGATGCTGCAAGCGATCAGCCGTCCCTCCAAACCCGCCATACCCAGCTCAATCCTTTCACGAGTGCTGCTAAGTTGGATAGGTTGGCGTTGCCTGACCTGAGTAATGGCTTGGGTGTGATGACAGAGCAGGAGGGGATGCAAACAGTGACGCAGTAAGCAAGATGCCAGGAGGTAACTAGCATAGCGGGTGCCTGACATCCCAAATAGAGCATGCGAGGTCGGCTTTGTAGAAGAGCTGCCTGTTCGCTAAATGGTGTGGAGTACGGGGGGCACGAGGCTAAGACTGCACATGGAACAGTGCAAAGGTGCACTCTTTGCGGCAATTCTTGGGCTCATACCGAGGGTTTTGCGGAGCACCCTAAACTTCCAGGGCCTCGGGACCAACGTGTTTTTTGTATTCATTGTTGGGGGCTAAGCACGGGCCCATGAAGCAACGTGGCAATATCAGGTGGCAGTACCTGACCTGCTGAATAAATGTTGCATGCCGGGCTGTTGCCACTGCAGGCAGACCTTGTGGAGGTAATTGCTGCATCAGGTGAGGCCAAGCGCGTGGGGAGGCAGGTGAGTACTGCAAAGGTGCTGTAAGACCGAGTCCTGCGGGGGGTCGGCTCTGCCTGACCTTAGTAAGGCTGCTGGGACGCTGACCGTCCTCCTTCGAGTGCTGTCTTCCCCCATAACTCCACATTGCTTGTCCCCCACACCCGCCCGATCCCCGCAAGAGTTACGCTGCTAGACCGCCGCTGCCTGGCCGATGGCAGTGGTATGCTAGAGGCTGGGTCCGTGATGAGGAGGCCAGCAATTGGCACTAATGCTGGTAGTAAGCCCAGGCCAGGTCTGAGAGGATTGGCAGCTATATGCGATATGAGGCTAAACGATGCCCGACGAGTAGGCGAGGTGGGACAGGCAACTTGGCAGTGACAAGCGCGAGGGGCGGTAGGTGAATACTGCAAAGATGTTGTAAGACCGAGTGCCGCCAGAGGGTCGGCTCTGTCTGATTTCTTAAGGCTGCTGGGACGCTGTCCGTCCTGCCCCGAGGACCAAGTCTATCACTCCCACTCCACCATATCCGTCCCCCAAGCCCGCTAGATCCCCGCCCTAAGTACGCTGCTAGGCCGCAAATGCCTGGCCGATGGCAGTGGTACGTTAGAGGCTGTGTCCGTGATGAGAAGGCCAGCAGTGGGCACTAGTGCTGGTAGTAACTCCAGGCCATGTATGAGAGGACTGGCAGCTATGATGCACTATGATGCTAAAAGATGCCCGAGGAGTAGGGGATGCAAGACAGGCAAGAGGTGTGGCAGTACATGGCCGCGATCGTAATTGTTAGTGCCTAGACTGTGTAGGCTGGCCTGTGTAGACTGGCCTGTTGTTTGGCGGCTGTGAGGACGACAAGTTGTGAGGCCGTCCTCCTGTTCTCCAAGTGGGCCAGGGATATGCGGTTCCGAGGTAACCACCTCACCCCCGACCCATCCCATGCCAACGAACCACGTACGAAACTCTGTTTGGGGGGCCAGCTGCAAAAGTACAGGGTTGAATGTGATGAGAGATAGTGCGCAATGATGCAGTAGAGCAGAGATCTTAAATCATAGGACGGAGAGCGAAGGCTGCAATGTGATGTACCTTTTGTGGCTCGACGGCTCGACGGCAGGCAGCAACGACGGGGAAGAAGGGTGAGAGAGCAGGGGGGGCAGCGCACCGAGAGAGAGAGAGAGAGCGAAGGCGGAGGTCCTCCTCCCTCCTTTTCCTCCTGCTCCTCCTCCTCTTCCGTCTCCTCCCCCGCCGCTTCCTCCTCCGGGGCCTCAGCCTTCCCCAGCAGTCAGTGAGGCACGACTCCTGAGGGGGGAGAGGAGGCCCACAGGTGCATTGGGAGCGGGAAAGATGCGGGGAGTGGAGAGACGAACGATGACGAGGCAGGAGGAGCCTTGGCACCAGCAGACTGGAAGTGAGAGGATGCAAGCTATCCTCCAGGAATCTTCCATCTGCCGTGACTGAGGTTCTGATTGTTGCTGTTGTGGATGAAGTCAGATCGCAGTCATTGCCTCCTCATCCTCCTCCTCCTCCTCCTCCTCCTCATCGGCCCGCCGCGAGAGCTGCCCGCCCCCCGCGGTGGGGGGGGGGCCCGCGGCCTTGGACAGCCAGCTGCAGGGGATGCCCAGCCCGCTGCGGCAGGCTGCGCGGGGGCCTTCCCCGCGCGGGGCGGGCAGGCGAGGAGGAGGCGGCAGGGTCAGGTCGGGCATGTCCTTCTGCAGGTGGAGTGCGGAAGAAAAGTTACGGATCGTCAAGAATGGTTGAGCGTACAGTGCCGTTTCTAATACATGCTCCGCGTGCGGACCATGTATAACATGAAAAAAAAACGGTTGATCCGTAAATGCAACGTTGAGTTTATAGATTAATTCATTCACAAATTAACCATGCATTAAAATCATATATTCTTAAAAATCTTATGTATTCAAAACTGCCCTGTAGTCACCCCATTAATCTTTCTTTACTATTCTTGAAGATTCCTCCTGTGGAGGGACATGCCCGACTTGGCGGCAGGGCCCCGGACGGTCGAGGCCGCGAAAACAAAGCTGGAGAGCGCGTGTGCCCGCACCCCCTCGCGTCGTGAGCAGCAAAAAAACTCGCGACGGAAGGCTCCTCTCGCTGCTTTCTCGGTCTCCATGGGGCCCTCGCCGGGCCTCGCCTCGGGACCGGCAACTACACGCACGTACACGCGCGAAATGGGCACGGAAAGAATGGGTACACTGCCGAGCAGCGGATTTTGTTCGTTTTGAACAGGACTCGCTGTCCACGCCGCCGCGGCCTGTGTCCATTCGAAACAGAAGGCCGCCCTCCCAACAGCGGCCGCTGTTGGTTTGGGACAGCATTTGTTGTTGGGCATTGTGCCCATTCTTTCCGTACCCATTTCGGGCGTCCAAAGGAATGGCTCGGGAGGAACCATGCATTGGCCCCCGGGAAGGGGTCCAGGCTTCTGAGGGCTCGTTTGTTCCAGACTCCGGCAGGCTTATTTGCACGGACGGGGGGGTGGGGCTGGGAACCACGCAAGTCCAAAGGCACTTGCACGCTCGTATCCGTTCGAAGAGGAGCGATTGGGGGGGGGGGGGGGGGGGGGGGGGGCGGAACGCCATGCAAGTAAACTTGCTTATTTGTTGTTGAAGATGACAGAAAAACAAAAACAAAACAAAACAAACAAGCAAAACAAGCAGGCTCTGAGGGCCACGTCATGAAAAAGAAAAACAAGCCCGACATCGGGGTTCGGGCCCCATTCGGTCGAGAGGCGACGATCAGTTGGAGGGCGCGTCACAGGGAGGGGGGAGGGGGGGGGGGGGAGGGCGACACACGGGAGCGCAGCGAGGGCCGCCGAGCAGGGGCCCTCTTAGGGCCCAAGAGGGGGCCTCTCGGGCCAGACGAAAGGGGGGGATTGGGAAAGGGGGGGGTCGAAATTTGCTGCATGCAGCTGGTTTCGGCTTCGCCGATGGGCCCATTCCTCGATACATAGCCGCCTCCGGCGCGGGGAGGCGCCGGGAAAATCAGCTACGTGAGCTGATTCTCAAACCCCCCCTTTGCTATCCCCGCCTTCGCCCGGCTCCAGGCCTCCAGGGCCCGCAGAGGGCATTTCCCCCCCATCAATCGCCCCCCCCCCATTCATCAGGGCCCAAGAGGGGCGCCTTCAGGGCCCGAAAAGGGCACCTCGCCCCCCCCCACACATCTATCGCCCCTCCGCTAATTCGCTCCCAGGTGGGGATGGGTGACCGTCCTCAGGGCGGTCGGCATGGATAGTCAGGAGTAGCGATGCTCCAAGGTTGCCTTCCGCATCCCTTCCCACGCGCAGGGGGGCGGGGCAGGGGGAGGGGGGAAGGTTTCTTAGAAGCACCCCTGCTTCTTAGAAGGCGCGGGCCTCCTCTGTGGAGGTAGGGCCGGCGCCTTCTAAGAAGCAGCCCCCCTTTCTGAGGAGCTTTCCCCCCTCCCGCTGCCCCCTGCCAGCTCTCGGCGGCCTCCCCGCCTCGGGCTGCTTTTCCCAGCAGCTGCGCCCCACCGAGGGCGCTGGGGGGGTGGTCGAATCGTCCCGAACTGCCTCCTGAGCCTCCTCCTCCTCCTCCTCCTCCTCCTCCTCCTCCTCCTCCTCATCCTCCTCCTCTTCCGCGGCTGCAGCTGTGTTCGGCTTCTGGGGATTCCTCGCCAAGCCCCAGGCATCGTCAGGGCACGGCGTCGGGAAAGGGCTGGGCCTGCCTGGCTCTTTGGGACCCCTGCCTGCGTGGCAGGATGAGGACGAGGAGGAGCAGGAGCAGGAGAAGGACCAAGAGGAGCAGGATGAGGAGGAGAATGAGGAGGATGAGGAGGAGGAGGAGGAGGAGGAGGAGGAGGAGGAGCGGGAGGAGCAGGAAGAAGAGGAAAGTTGTGAAGGCAGGGCCAGCGTTGATGATCCTCAGAATGTGTTTGGCCCAATGTGTGGTTGTCTGTTCCGGTCCGCCGATCGCAGACAGTTTGTTCCTGCCCTGATTAAAATGCCTGTGTCGTATTGGAGGGCTCAGGTTGACAAGCAAACACTGGTGCTAGCACACGTTCTGTGTGTCACCAAACATGGGACCGTTCCACTGGGGTCCGCAAATGCAAATGCAATAGCTTGTTTCGGGAACGAGCTACCCCAGCTATTGCATGCAACTATTGCGAACTATTGCGCCGGCGGGCTGGGCTCAACTTTTGCACTTGCCAAAACCCGGCTGCATTGCCAGACAAAACTATTGCATCTAGGTGCGCTAGATATTGCAACCTAGTGGTAGTAAGAAGCCACATCCAGCTGCCTACGGCAGGTCCGGCCACCGTGCTTGGATTATGGTTGTGAGGCGTATTGAATGTTTATCATCTTGCACAGTTGTGTTCTAGAGCTCGGGCCCCTTTATTTTCGTGGTTCGTCGTGGTCCCCCTGGCTCTGGCTTCCCATCCTCGTCGTCGTCGGTCCCTGCCCCCCATCCCCTGGCCTCCGCGCCTCAACCCGGACCTCTGGCTCCTGGACCCCTCGCCCCCGTCCTCCTACCCTGGCCCTGAACCCAGCCTCCCTCCTTGGCTCTGGCGTCCCCTGGCCCTGGCCCCAGCCCCCCTCGCCCAGGACCTTCTATTTTCGTGTTTCGTCGTCGTCCCCCTGGCTCTGGCCTGCTTCCCGTGGCCCCCTCGCCCCCGTCCTCCTGCCCTGGCCTTGAACCCAGCCTCGCCCCGGACTTTTTATTTTCGTGGGTCGTCATCGTCCCCCTGGCTATGGCGTGCTTCCCCTGGCCCCCTCGCCCCAGACCCTTTATTCTCTTGCACAGTTGTGTTCTAGAGCTCGGACCTCTTTATTTTCGTGTTTCGTCGTCGTACCCCTGGCTCTGGCTTCCCATCCTCGTCGTCGTCTCCCTGCCCCCTATCCCCTGGCCTCCGCGCCCCAACTCAGACCTCTGGCTCCTGGTCCGAGCCCCAGTCCTCCTACCCTGGCTGAACCCAGCCTCCCTCCTTGGCTCTGGCGTCCCCTGGCCCTGGCCCCAGCCCCCCTCGCCCAGGACCTTTTATTTTCGTGTTTCGTCGTCGTCCCCCTGGCTCTGGCCTGCTTCCCGTGGCCCCCTCGCCACCGTCCTCCTACCCTGGCCTTGAACCCAGCCTCCCTCCTTGGCTCTGGCGCCACCCCCCCTCGCCTCAGACCCTTTATTCTCTTGCACAGCTGTGCCCTAGAGCTCGGACATCTTTATTTTCGTCGTTCGTCGTGTCGTTCGTCCCCCTCGCCCCCCCCCCCCCCCTGTCCACGCTTCCCAGGGTAGCCCCCCTGGGCCACGAACCCTTTATTTTCGTCGTTCGTCGTGTCGTCGTCCCCCTCGCCCCCCCCCGTCCCCAGCCCCCCCTTCCCTTCCCACCCCCGCCCCCCCCCTGTCGCTTCCCAGGTAGCCCCCCTCGCCACGGAACCCCACGCTTCCGGGTAGCCCCCCTCCCCCCTGTCCACGGGTACCCCTTTATTTTCGTCGTTCGTCGTGTCGTTCGTCCCCCTCGCCCCCCCCCCTGTCCACGCTTCCCAGGGTAGCCCCCCTGGGCCACGGAACCCTTTATTTTCGTCGTTCGTCGTGTCGTTCGTCCCCCTCGCCCCCCCCCGTCCCCCTCGCCCCCCCCCCCTGTCCACGCTTCCCAGGGTACCCCTCGCCCCCCCCCCCACGCTTCCCAGTCCCCCCTGGGCCACGGAACTTTATTTTCGTCGTTCACGGGTAGCCCCCCTGGGCCACGGAACCCTTTATTTTCGTCGTTCGTCGTGTCGTTCGTCCTCCTCGCCCCCCCCCCCTGTCCACGCTTCCCAGGGTAGCCCCCCTGGGCCACGGAACCCTTTATTTTCGTCGTTCGTCGTGTCGTTCGTCCCTTCGCCCCCCCCCTGTCCACGCTTCCCAGGGTAGCCCCCCTGGGCCACTTTTATTTGTCGTGTCGTGTCGTGTCGTTCGTCCCCCCTGCCCCCCCCCCTCTGCCCCCCCCCGCCCAGGCTTCCCAGGGCAGCCCCCCTGAGCCTCGGACACCTTTTGTGCAAGAGCCAGGGCACGCGTGCCACTTGTTTTCGTGGTTCGTCGTCGTCCCCCTGGCTCTGGCCTGCTTCCCCTGGCCCCCTCGCCCCCGTCCTCCTGCCCTGCCTTGAACCCAGCCTCCCTCCTTGGCTCTGGCGCCCCCCCTCGCCCCAAGCCCATTATTTTCGTGGTTCGTCGTCGTCCCCCTGGCTGTGACCCGCTTCCCCTGGCCCCCTCGCCCCCGTCCTCCTGCCCTGGCCCTGAACCCAGTCTCCCTCCTTGGCACTGGCGCCCCCTGGCCCTGGCCCCAGCCCCCCTCGCCCCTGGCCCTTTTATTTTCGTGGTTCGTGGTTTGTCGTCGTCCCCCTGGCTGTGGCCCGCTTCCCCTCGCCCCCGCCCACCTGGCTGTGGCCCGCCCCCCCTCGGCCCCCTCGCCCCAACCCTGACCTCTGTCCTCTGGTCCGAGCCCCAGCCCTCTGACCCTGGCTGAACTCAGCCTGTTTCCTGGCCTTGGCCCCACTCGCCCCGACCCTGGCTTCGCCCCAGCCCTCCTCGCCCCGGACCGTGTATTTTCGTGGTTCGAACCCGGACCTCTGGCCCCTGGTCCGAGCTTCAGTCCCCCTGCCTTGGCCCTGGACCCCCACTCGCCCCGACCCTGGC